ATCCACAACTTTTTAACCACACATCCCATCAGATTTTATCAAGATCTATTAAAAAAATATGATTTTATCTAAACCAAACAGGAGCCAGGTGCTAACAAAATGAAAGTTTTATACAAGGTAAAGGTAGAATCGATCATCAATCTATTGTTCGAGTAGCAAGTTTGATAGTTGCTTTTCAACATTTTTGTTACATATACATTGTCAAGCTCTAATGATTAAAAAAAAAAACTATATATGTTGAATTGTGAGGTCAAATTTACCCGTATATCTCAATTTAAATTTTAAGATGGCAATAGAAGTTGCGAACTTCATGAAATCGAACACGAGAGAGTCAAATTGATGGTTCCATGGAGAATTTGGATGATTTAATGTACAAAAACTAGAATGAAAGGTTACAGATGAACTTGCTATTAAATAATGATGATTTGCGCTATCAAAATATAATTAAGGGAAAAAATGTAATAAAAATAAAAATAAAAGGTAGGAATATTTTTCGCAGTAAAAGTGAAAGGTAGGGACATTATGTGCTAATTACCCTTTTAATAATTTATTTGAGATTCATTTGCGTTTTTCAAAAAAGTTGGAACTATGTTTGCAATTAGTTTTTTTTTTCTTTTTTCTTTTGTTTTATTTAAAGGAAATTGTATTTTCACCATTTCACAATTTTTAATTGAGAAAATTAATGAAAATGACATTTTTCATAATGAATGGTGGAAATAAGGGTGAAAATGTCAAAAAATGAAAGGTATAGACGTTTTCCACAATAATAATGAAAGTAAGGATGTTATGTGCTAATTACCCCTACTAAATAATAAGTTGGGATTATTAATGTTTGGGTGAGATTACATGTACAGCCCACACTGATTAGTGGACTGTACATGCAGCAGAGTTCTGTTTGTTTTTCCTTTTATGATGAGAACAAATGGTGACAAGACAAACAATATGAAGGAAACATTTGCCCCGTGTCGTTTCTTCCGTGACACTTAAAATGCATCTGGTGAACTACATGAAAATCATTCATAAACTTGTAAGTTCATATCATACTATAAAATTACCCATCAGATAAGATATCCTATGTAGAATGATACAACGACAACATTAATTAATAAAGATCTAGACACTTGAAAACGTAATTAATAAGGGAAAGTGACTATGATTTGAATAGCAGAACTTTCCTCATCATCAGCTGCAATGATCATAACAGAGCCTTCATCAGACATTGAATTGATCCAGCACGAAACATATGCAGGCATATTCCCTTCATCGAACCATGTTTCGTCGGCCCCCAACACAAAATCCCATCCTGCACAAGTTAATCCATTCACCGTGCAAAATGTTTTCTCATTGAGGCATTCGGTCGAACACATTTCCACATTAAGAACTTCATAAGGTTTCTTCACAAATAGAGAGAATTTAGAGCCGAATTTTCTACCCTTTTTGCGCTCAGCTTCGTCAATACACAGTGCAGCAAGATTCTTGTAAACATTTTTATCCAAATTCAAAATATTTGTAGGGATGTTGAAAATGACACTTTGTGCAGGGTACTTGCTTGTGTTTATGCCACTTAGAAGCGCTTTAGAACTGCCGAGTTGTCTTAGTTTGGGGAGGTAACATATGGGCGTTGTGGGCGCATCTGGTTTTGACAGTAAAGAGCTGTGATCATTAGCCCATCTCTTGAGGAAGGCTGTCAAGGCAAAAGGATCTGCTAGAAGAAGGCTGCAACTTATCCCAATTGAGTATCCACCACAACTGAAGTTGGTGACCTGAAAACATGCAGAAGAACAGGCATAGAAGAGATTTCTATATGTTGCATGCCAATGTTGAAAGTAATAAGGTTATCTAGAAACATAGATTTGATAGTATTTAACCCCTGTTCGAGTCCTATTTTTTTTTTCAGGTTTACCTACTACAGTACCAAATGAATTTGACTTTACGTTTTTTCGTTTCCGAAGTAACTCTCATCAACAAGTCACTTCTTTTTTTGTCCAAATTTCTCTGAGTTGGTCGTATTCTTATAAATAGATAGGCCAAAATAAAGTAAGCTTTGTTTGGTGGCCTTAAAATTTGAAAAACATAGTTTTGAATAGTATTTTTTTGGAGAATGTGTGATTAAAAAGTAAAGAAAAATTTTGATTTTATGTGTAAAATATTTTATTGTGTGCACTGTGCAGCGTGATTGAAAATGAATATGAAAAATGAATTAAGCCCCATTTTGATAACTATTATTTATTTGGTTAAAATGAAGTTTTGAATAGTGATTTTTTAGAGAATACGTAATTAAAAAGTAAGAAAAGATTTTAGATTTACGTATAAAATATTTTATTGTGTGATTGCTTGATTGAAAATAAGTGTGTAGAAAAAATAATTTTAAAATAATAATGGTCAAATAGCCTAAAGTAAAGAAAATCAAGTAGCTAGACTTCATTTTCTACTCACTACTATTTTCATGCTAACTTGTGCAATCAAACTATTACGTCAACCATCAATATCTACACATTGTTTGAAAACTGTTTATAAACGACTGTATTTATAAATAGATAAATATGAATGTTAAACGTTTGTAGATATATTATTTTTTTAACTTATAAGTCAAAAAATGAGGTTATGAGTTCTCAACCTTTCGAGTGGAGTGATTTTAGATTCTCCAACCTTCATAAAGTGAGGCTATGATTCTCTAATCTATTCAAATGAGTTTACTTGGTTCCTTGTGACTAAAATCATTAACATAGAAGTTCTAGGTCACGTTAAGTTGATTGCAATTTTAACTTTCATATCGACAATTTTCATCGAGTAAGAATGAGATTCACATATTAAATATATAGAGACCTAAAACCTCACTTTAAAAGGTTGAAGGACTCAATCATTCTACCTAAAAGGTTGAGGAATCTACATCTTATTTTCCCTATTTTCATAGGTAAGATAAAGTTCAGTCAATTATAGTTTAGATAAAAATCAGACTTTTAATAAATTTTGATAAAAATTAATAAAATATGTTGTTGAAAAGTTGTAGATCCCACGAAATGCATAATTAAAATTAATTGTCAACTTTGACTCAAATTTTAATGAAACTTTTTAATTGAACCAAATAAGGGCTTAATTTCAATTTTAATTCAAAAGGTAATAAAATTGAAAAAGGACTAGATTCAAACGCATCAAAAAAATTTTTATGAAATGTATGGTTAAAAAATTGTGGGTTCCGTGAAATGTCCGATTAAAATTAATTGTTGATTTTAATAATTTTTTAGCTGAGCCAAACATGGACTTAATAAGAGAATGAATTCAGTGTACTCATGAAGGGTGTTTTAAATACAAGATTTAATTGAATGTATAGGTGGCGCTTCTCAAGCAATTTAAGTTTCTATATGAAATGGTTAATAAAAATATACTTATTTGCTTATAAGTAAAAAATTTAAGCTTCACCTGGACATAAAATAGTGGAGAGAACTGAGGCTGGTTGAGTTCAAGAACATCCTCCCAAAACACAACTTCACCTTGTGCTTCTTTCTTCTCCTCCAAATCAAGAAAATCAGCCAACTTCATTTCAACTCTCGCCTCGACCAATCGAACACCAGAATCATTCAAAACGATGTGTAAGTTTCGATCCCCGTCTTCGGATTCTTGTACTCGGAGTCTCCCAGCAAGAATTGGCAGTTCACACAGTGCAATACTGAGTGATTCCTTAATCCAACCCGCCATTAACCACCCTGAATCCTCATCTGAGGCTTTGTTATAGCACAAAATGAGGTGAAAAAGCCTTCCTAAAATGCTGGAATCAAGATTTTGTGAAGAAATTGTTATTCTGCCTGAATTTATTGGATCAGTTGGCTTGATTGGAACCACAGTCTGAATAGACTCTATGTGCACTTTGGAGGCTAAAGATAGAGTAGAATTGGAGTTGGAAATTGTCATAATGGTTTATTTGGGAATCAATGATGGGTGACTACCCAGATTATAAGCTATTTATAAGGAAATCTGTCATCAATAGTGCCATTGGAGGTCTATATATAACATTNGAAATCTGTCATCAATAGTGCCATTGGAGGTCTATATATAACATTTCCACCCATGTGAATTTGAAAAAAATTAGAAACTTCACGAGTTCTGTTACTTGTACATCGAGGTTGACAATCACTCATAATAAGGAGGCCCACGCCCCAAATTTCACATTATATCTAATCATTGAAGTATGTAGTAGTGTTTTTGTCATCAGACCAATACTTCTAGTACTATCAAGAAAATCGAGAACCGACCCAAAAATCGATCTAGTTATAGTTTACAAACTATATAAATTTTTGTTAAGAAAAAAAAAATCGACAAAATGTGTCAAATTAAAATTTTGGCTATGGAAAATGAAAGGTGTGTTGATTAGATATTAAAAATGAATAAAAGTTTCTCGTTTCTTTAAGCAATTTACCCCGACTATGAATAGTAATTGTTGTTTACTTAATTATTTGTACAAATTAGTTTACTAAGATTGTTAATCAAGTAAAGGAAACGTAGCCATTTTTTGGTAATCAGTCGCTATCTAATTTTAATATTCTAAATCTTAATATTAAATTTAATTTAATTTTTAAGTCTTTATATTAAATTAATATAAACTCCGTACATGTAGCAAGATAACACCAACTACAGTATCTAAGAAGGGGTGTCAATTTGGCTCATCGGCTCGGACGGCCAGTGGTTCGGCCTGGGAAAAGCCCGAGCCTGCCTGACTCGTAGCTCTGATTAAGGCCCATTTTGGAACGTCGGGCCGACTTCTGTCACAAGCCATTTTCGACTCGTGACAAGCCGAACATTAAAAATTAAAAAATTAAAAGCTAGTGCATGCAGTAGTAACTGCTCGTATTTCACACGCTGCCTTTGTAGGCACGAATCGTTGCTTGCCTGTAGGCAACAATTTAGCTGCCTGTGTTAAAAAATTTAAAAATTTAGCTGCCTGTAGGCAACTACACGCTGCCACAATGGTAGCAGTCTGTACATGTTGCCTTTGCAGGCAGTTAAGACAGTGTGTAACTACTTAGCTGCCTGTGTTTAAAAAAAAAAAAAAAAAGTAAGTCAACCTGACTCGATAAAGCTCGAGCCGAAAGCTTAGGTTGAGCCTAGATTTTTTTGGCTCGGACTAAAAAAAGTCCGGATCATTTTTCCTCGAGCCAAGCTGGAGCCCGAGCCACGAGTTTAGGCTTGCGAACCGGCTCGACTCTTTGACATCCCTATATATAAGTATTAAACGATAAATTTGTGATGCACGATTGTGATTATGAAAATAATCGTTGAATGAATAAATATTAATAAATTTTTATTTCTCTATTTATTCATAAGAATAAAGGAAGACGATTTGCTTATTTAATTAAATTATCGATCGAGAGCACTAAACAATTATAGGGTACAGTCATGTCAAGTAAGTTATATAACCCAAATCTTGGTATAAGAAAACAAATAAAAAATAGATTCAAATGCAATAATTGCATAATTAAAAGAAACTAAATTTCATCTTGATAAATTAATAAATAGTGTTTACCTTCGTTAGTGTCCCAACTAACAAAATCAGCTTGGACTTACCTTAATTTTAAAAGGAGAACTTATGAAGATTGAATATTCACTTTAAAGAGTATTGATTAAAGAGATCATCACGTCAACTCGTCCCATGAGCTCGACCCATGATACCTAGACAAATCAGTTGACTCGTGACATGTCGCCCAGTCCATGCCCGCTGTAATCTAGAAATATCATCATTGCAATCCTAAATACACTTCTCCTGAGCGATGTCATCACCATTCGAACGATCACTCTCAAAACGACAAGTGACACTCATGACATTAGCACCTCATTTTCAGCCAATTTGAAATCAGCAATGATTACCTATGTGACAAATAATCATGACATATGCCACAGCTACAACCTAGGCACCATGAGGACCGGTTCGGTGGACCTCAACAACCAATCAACATCATTAAATCTAGACAATGACACAACTTTCTAAGTCACCACTGTAGTTGATATGACGTCGAATGACCAAGTTACTTGATTTAGAGGCCTATAAATAAGGGCAAATGGTTCTCTCCAAATGGCCAAATTCAATGTACTTTCTCTAATACACTCCAAACTTCAATAAATGAAATTATCCTTTAATTTTCCTAAACTCGAGCAATTTGAGCAATCGCTATACTAAATTTCTATTAAGTTGATCTAAATTTATCACGTCATATTTAGTCATCAACAACCTTACAAAAATATTATTTTTTTCCAAAAATCTTGAGTTCACAAGGATTATGCTTTGAGTTTTGCTCAGTAGCGGATCATATACTAATTCCATTAATCAAGAACTAAACGGTTTATCAAGACTACCATAAAATAAAAGGAAGAGTTCAAGGGGGGAAAAATGTTATCGATTTTTTACTTTTGGAAAGAAATAGGGTTCCGAAAAAAAATAATGTTACGTTTTTAGCACTTCTACTGTACAGTCTACTTCATGCTGAGAGCTTTAAATAATATTTGGCGCATAAAGAAATCAACCTCATTACCTTTTAAATATTAAATCCAATTATTACTGAATTTGTTATAACTTATAAAATAGAATAATGATGAATGTATACCGTTGTGTGTAATTCAGTTTGACACTCCCCTCATATGGAGGTGGGGCCCGCGATTTTTAAAATTGTGGGCCCCATCACTTATGTGAGGGGGGCTATCACCGATTCCCTATAAAATATGCTAAGACCAACATAGGAAATGTTGTCTCCGAGGCCTGTTGTCGGGCCATGGTCACTAGTTGTCAAAATTTATTTGTCAAACTTCTATTAACATATGCCAATAAATTACACCACCAATAAATAAGTTCGATTCAAAGAAAATTAAATCGATCGCATGAATTTTTTTTGTGTTTATCATTTGATTCATTGCTAGATGGTTGAGGTCATTTATAATTTGATCATTTGGGAGTCATTGATCATTTATATCAAACTTCTATTAACATATACCAATAAATTGGGAGTGATTTTTCCAAGTGAAAAATAATTTTTTGAAAGAAGTGCGAATAAAAAGTGA